TTTTTTTTTTTTTTTTTTTTTTTGCGAAACAATAATGGCTGCCCACAGTGTGAAAGAAGAATGGTCCTCCTCACAGGACAAGGCTTGTGTCTGCTGGGATGGCAGCCAAAGCTGCAACAGAATGTAAAACAAGTTTGTTTCCCTCCACTGATCCACACAAGAAATAATCAGAAGAGACATAATTCTTCCAGAGTCAATAATCAGAAACTGGGTGATTACAGTACTGTATTTTCTGTACCAATTATACTCTCTAGGGGAAACCACATTGTTCTCTGAATACATCAAGGAACACATACTTAGCTGTAGTTGGTGAGTGAATTCAGACCCTCACAACAAAAGTTGAACTCACATCATTAAGACTGAACACTGGAATTGCACGTTTAGGATCACTGGTGTACAATAAATATGTAGGATATACAGTATACATTGCAATATCACAGCAATGTAAGATTATAGCAGCATGGACAGTATAGGCCAAATTTTAGAATATGGTGCAATGAGACATCAGTGCAATGAGAGATCTGCTTAACTCTTCCTCCCACTGAACCAATGAAATGCAGAGATCCTTATCTTTAGCTGGAGTGTGCTCACTTTATTTTGAATTGTATATTCGCTGAAGCCCAGGAAAACAGTGCATGTATAACAACACATCATCCTTCGTGCTACTGTTCCAAAAGTAGTGGCCCACATAATGCTTTGAGCCGTTAAGTTGAAACTAAACAGAGGAGAGCTAATGTCACAGACCTCAAAGTGAAGGTTTTGGCAGAATGTCAATGTCCAATTTTGTTTAATTGTTTTTTGTGGGTCATGACGCTGTCTCCACTATGATTTTTGTTTTACCACAGTCTTACTGCTTTGTTAATTTTCATGTATTTTTCTCAGGCTCTTAAGCCTTTCAGTGTTTTGTGCTGTTTGAATGCTCTATGGCTACAAAACATGATAACTGATTAGCTCGGTGGTTTGGGTATCTGGCTGCAGAGTCAGATGTTGGTAGTTCAGTTTCCCCACTCTGCCTGTTACTAGTAGAACCAGCCTGTGTGGCTTTGGGGAAGCTGCACAGTACCAGAGCACCTCCAGAACCACTTCTAATTGTTCTCTACCTGAAAGATTCTGAAAAAGGGTTTCCAAAAGTCAGAACTGATTTGATGGCACATCATCGTCGTCGTCGTCATCATCATCATCATCATCATCATTATTATTATTATTATACTACAGATCACAAGTGATTCCATTCAGCTTCTTCCATACTTCTGGCAGAGCATGCAAACATGAATGTAACTTGTTCTGTTTATGTGATGATGTCTTGAAAAATGTTTGGCTGGTTTAAAAGGCCAGAGCTAGAGTTCTCATATGGTCGCATTTGTCCGTTTAGGTTTCTCTATTATTGTACCATCTTCATTGTTATTTTCCAAACCCAGCTTCAGTCCTGTTGAGGTATTTGAGGAATGCAAAAAAACATCCATGAAAGGGCAATCTAAAAAGTGCAGGCTATGCCCAATCCCTAGATTAAGAGCTTGGTAATATTGCTTCTTTGGACTACAGCTCCCCGAATTCCTCAGGCAGGTGGGAAGCGTAGTCCAAAAAAGTAATGTTTCTGGGCTTTTCACTGATTTAATAAACCATTTGGTAAGCCAGGTGCCTAATTCCAGTTGTATTAGTGATATGGGAATTGCTTCCTTGTGACATCTTCCAGCTGTATATATTTGTGTAAGCAGTAGGAGATGTGAACACTATTTTTGTGAGCTGGGCACTCTGCAGATG